AATAGACGACAAGTCTATCTTTTCCCCAAAATTGAATGCTACTTGTTTGATAAAAATGCTTTACGTTTGTTTGTTTTTGAAAAGGCAGCGTCTTTGCATTCATTATGGTTCGTAAAGTTCATTCTTCTTAATCGTTGTTACTTTATGAGCCTGCAAATACATTTTCTTAAGAATTTAAGCGTCTGAAGCCCTGGCTTAACATTCAAGGACCGATGAACGAAAGCACAGACGCTGAAAACAGACATTTTGGGGAAAGTAATAAAAGTTCCTTTAAAAACTTCAGTCATTTGACAGTGTACAGTGCAGAAGCACTGAAGCACTTTTAATACTGTTTGGTTGTTTTGGTACTTTTTCAACTCCCTCTCATTGGGCAGCACAGTGGTTTTGCGGTTAGCATTTTTGCCTCACAGCAAGAAGGTCCTGGGTTCAATCCCTGGTCTGAACCTGGGGTCTTTCTGTGTGGAGTTTGCATGTTCTCCTCATGTTTGTATGGGTTTCCTCCCACAGTCAACAAACATGCATGTTAGGCTGCCTCCAGGCCTCCCTTGCAAAAGAGATCTGTGATCTGTGTAGAATGTGCCTGCTTATATAAATGTTACTAACATGAAACACAATGTTTTATTCATAAGTCATTCTATGGCAGACACTTGCTAAATATATAGATAAATAAAGCATTTAATAAAAAAAACGTGATTTGATCAGGAATACTTTGCACTGACTTTAATAGTTGTACATGTAGACAACAAATGTCAGTCCAATATGTGTTTTGTTTACTCTGTCAAATCCTAAAGGCATGCAGAGATACATCAGAAAACTGCTTTTAACTGAATCGCTTTTCACATGAAATGAAACTTTTTTTTAAACGAGCTGTAACAGAGCCAACAAATTCATCCTTGTCTGTACAGTGCTAACCACTAAGCCACTGGCAACATGGTTCTGGGTTCAAGTCTCGGTTTGGGCTGTGAGTCTTCCTGGGTGGAGTTTGCATATCCTCCTCATGTTTGAGTGGGTTTTCTCTGAGTACTCCAGTTTCCTCTCACAGTCCAAAAACATGCATGCTTGGCTGCCTTCAGGGGGCCACCCTTGAAAAAAGATCTGTGATCTCACTGGGATTTGCCTGGAAAATAAAATATAATCTACTTTCTGATCACCTTCCAGCTCCTAACAGATTTACTGACGTTGTTAGACTGAATATTAAACTCAGCTGTTGGGCAAGACTAGGTGATAATCCAGCTGATGTGTTAGTGCTACATGTCTGATGAAATCATAAATCTGGCTATGATATGCCATCTCCACATTGTATCTGGTAATCCTGATAATCCATGGCTCTTTTTAGCATTAAACTGATTCTCTGACTGTGTGGAACCTCTCAAACATCTGCAGTGCTGCCTTTTGACTTCACTGTAAACACAGAGAAAAACACCTGAGGTGCCCCGTCAGTTTTAGGTGAAATGTAAAATATATGTTGAATTATTGATCAGTTCTTTATATACTCTAATTTAAAAAGTAGTGTCTTTATGTTTTGATGTTTCGATTGAGCAGAAGTTGTTGAGAGGACCTCCCCTCCTGCACCTGTCGAGATCCTCCCAACTAATGCAGGCCAGGACATCGCTCCAACTCAGTCAGCTGGTAAGACTGAAGCCTGTTTTCTCTTCTTCTCTGCAAAAAACAATCAAGTTCATGAAAAAAATAAAATGAGATGCCAGGTGATAGAGCAACAGCTGTGATATTACTGTGCATGCAGTTTTGTCTAAAACCCTAGAATTTAATTGGACTTTTTTACATCAATGTATGACATGTTCCTTATAACTTCGAAGTGTTTAATAATAATTACATTTTTTATACTTGACATTTTTTATATTGTGATACTCAGTAAAGTTCTGCTGTCTCTGCTCTGACCCAGAGGTGGACGAGTGCCAGATCAACCCTTACATTTGTGGTCAGGGGGTTTGTTACAACACAGCTGAGAGCTACACCTGCCACTGTGATGAGGGATACCACCTGGATGACAGTGAGATCACATGTGTAGGTAAGGAACAGAGGCCACGTGGTGCATGTTCAAGTACTCAGTGTTTTGTGGAAGTAGAGTTGATGTTTTTTCATATTTAGATCATCAGCACACGGGAAGAAAGAAAATTATGTATTAAATAAATCCTCTTTCAACCAGCCACAGTTGGGTTACAGATTTGTACCAAGCTTTGATTCTTGATCATTTTTATGTTGTCATTACCAACACTGGGCTGAAATGCAACTTAATGCAAGAAAGGTGGTAATTAGCAAAAGCATTTCTTGATTTAGCTCTTTTTTTATACACTCATTGAAAGATGAACATATTATGGTGTAGTCTCCATCCATCAGTCCGTACGTTCATAAACCTTCTCTTGTCTGAGCCACAACTTCTCATCTGCTCAAGATGATTTAGTGAAATTTGATTCACATTTATACCACATTTCATCAAAGCAGCTCCAAGGTCAAGGTAAAATGTTATACAAGGTCTTTGCTTGTCTGGGCTCTTGCTTTAGACTGCTGTATTGCTGCAAAATAGCTTGTCAGTAGGCGCATAATGTGCCCTCTGTGGTACTCTTATTAAGTGTTTGACCTACAAACACATAAGTATCAACTACTAATTAAGCATGCCATTATTTAGGCATTTTGGCAACACCCTTATGACTGTTTAGCTTTTATTGTTGCTCTTTTATCATTTCTTCAGTTTTACATTTACCTGAGCCCATCAAATGTTCAGCATCACCATAAACAGTTTTTGGTAGTAAGATTCACACTACAAATTAATTCCCAATAAATTGCAAAAGTTTCCACATAATGAAAAATGAGATTTTTCTGAAAAGAATGATAAAACTGCATTAACTCTGTAGTTCCATAGCACATGTATACCTGCCAGTAAAAACATCATTTAAAGTTTAAATGGTTAATTGAAGATTGGATTTTTACAACTGTACTGACATTTTCATATTATTAACAGTTTTTACGAAATTGCATTTCAGTTTTACCTTTAGGAGATTTAATAATGGAACATGTAGTGTAAAGATGCTAAAACTCTCATTTTTGAGCTGTCAAAACTTTTTTAAACCTTTACACACAAGCTCTTTGTACTTCCCTAAACTTTACACATCTTAAGCACTTCATAAATAAAAATGTATGTGTTTTTACCTTTATTTGACCCAGTGTGTCTCTCAGGGATATACAGTAGAGCTTGTTGTTTGTATTATTGTGTTATTGTTTTTATGTAGTAATTTCAGCGTCAGAGGGATTTATTTGTCATACATACCACACGTGATATATGAGGTGGGACTAAACTATGTACACAGGGTCCCAGTTACATCCAAACAAAACACAAATTGTAAAGAAAAACATTAGTAAGATCCAAGTCATGAACTAAGAATATACTACATTCACTAAACTAAGAATACACTAAGCACTAATGGTACAAAAACTGTGTCAAAACAACAGCAGCACGAACATGAGTCTGTGTGAGCAGATGAGGACTAATGAACACAGTAACATGAAATAATCAGCAGCATGAGATCAGCATCATGGATAGTCAGCAGCACATATCAACAACCAAGTGGCATTACAATGATTTTCATAGTTTTTTCACAGTGATTTTTCAGGGTAGAAGCTGTTCCTCAGCCTGGTGGTTGTGCATTTAATGCTCCTCAACCATCCTGCCTGAGGGGAGTGGGGCAAAAAGTGTGTGTGCTGAGTGAGTGGGGTCCTTGGTGATGCAGGTGGCCCTCTTCCTGCATCTGGAGGTGTAGATGTCTGTGATGGTGGGGAGACTGACTCCAACAGACTTGAAATGTTGCAAAAACATGAAGATTTTTTTCAGAATTGTTCTTTTAAATGTTTATTTACACTCCAGTTGTAAAGTTTTATTTGCAGTATGGCTGGTTCTACGTTTATTACTCAGTTATAATGTCTACTCTTAGGATCTTATGAAAATTAAGTTTACTGGTAGTTTTGAAAACTTTATTTTTGGCAGAAATAACTTTAGACCATTGCTTTGACCTTCTGTAACAGTCCCAGTTTTCTTTAATGACCCTTTGGAAAAGTATTTAGTCCCCATGTTTTAGAATCACAGACAGTACAAGTCGTCTACAAACTGCAACATAAATTTATATAGGTGTATTTGTTGAGATGCTCAGTCTTACTCATGGCTGCATGCTTGAGGTATGACTGGTCTTTAGGCTCCCTTCTCACTGGATGATGACTCATTACACTGTAAACAACATACACAACCATGGCATGGCATGGCTAGATTGTTGCAAATTCAGAAAAACTCCTTCAGTTTGAAGGTCATTATGATGCAGCTGGGCTCTTAGGTACTGGACAAATGAGATGTTCTGGATATTTTCCCTGAAACACTCTACTGTACCTTCACAACAATCTGGGGCCTCATGTATCAACGATGTGTACGCACGAAAAGATGCATGCACCAGGTATCACGCACGTGTGAGGATGTATCAGAATGAACGTCATGTGAAAGTGTACATAAATATATGCACTCTTTTTTGTTCTGCCATGAGAATATGCTTATCTCCATGAAAACTTTTTCAGAGTATCAAACTTTGTAGTCAAGTCACATTTCTTTATAAAGTACATTTAAAAACAACAGCTGTTACCAAAGTGCTTAACAAAAAACAAAACAAAAAAATTAAATGGTAGGGGTGGCTGTGGCTGAGTGGTTAGAGCAGTCGTCCTCCAATACAAGAGTTGGGGGTTCAAATCCACCAGCAGTCACATGTTGAAGTGTCTCAGGGCAAGACACTGAACCCCTCGTTGCACATAGTTGCCTCAGGGCACTTTACAGGAACATCCACATACATAGAAAAGCCAATTAGTAAAGTTCTCTATATAAGGAGGCAGCAGACAAGTTGAATCTTGGCTTTGTTGCAGTCTCCCATCCTGAGCAAGTACAGTGGCAACAGTGGAAAGGAAAAACTCCCTTTTAAAAGGAAGAAACCTCCAGCAGAACCAGGCTCAGGACAAGCGGCCATTCGTTTTGACTGGCTGGGTTTGAGAAGACAGAAAGGAGAGACAGACGAACGCAGAATGGTAGGTCCAGATGTAGGTCCAGGTGTGTAACGAACCCCCTTATGTTTGGACCAAAATCACCACACAAAGTAAAAATTTAATGATGTTTATTTTCTAGGTGAAATATTGCAGATTGGGCCGGTTCTGGTACTGGTTCTGGTTCGGGTACAGGTTCCGGATCAGGGACAAGACTAGACTGAGACAGAGATCGGTTAGTGGTCCTGCAGGAGACTATGGGGAGCAGAAAAGTCAAATAAGGAGGGCCATTAACTGTCTCAGATGATCTTGGGGGTTCTGGCGACTGAAGAAGTCCAAACTGATCCGGACCGCTGCTGGAGGAGCTGAGTCCGGTGAGGGGCTGCAGCTGGCCACAGTGACAGGCAAGTGATGAGTCCGTCAAGCGCAGAGTTGTGGTCCAATGAGCCAGGGTCCAAAATAAAGAGCAGATGACTGAAGGGACCGGAGGAGTAGACAAAGAGGCGTAGTTGTGCAGGCGAAAGTCAGAACCGAAGACAGAAGGCTTAATAATCCAAGGGGTCGAGCGAGAGACGATGTCCAGGTGAGTCATGGGTCCAGGAGCCGGGAGGTCAAGCCGAGAGGTAAGGACAGGAACCAGGAGCGGGATAGGAACGAGGAGAACAGGTAAACTATGACAGAGAAACACTATGGCTAGAGGGAAACAAAACAGGATCATGAACGCGAGGTATCTACTTGCAGAAAACTGTTTTCAACTATCGGGCACCAAAGAGGAGAAAGAGTGAAGCTTATATAGGGTGAGAGTGACAGGTGCAGCCAGTTGAGCTCTAATCAGCTGCTGTTGGCTGCTGTGAAGACAAAGCTAAACAAACCGTGACGTCGCCCTATACCAGCATGCAAAGAAGACAAACTAAAACGCACGTCTAAATAATCACTACAGGAGTGGACAGAATAAATGAAACTTACAGAATAGATCCATTGCAAACTTTAAAAGGTGACCAGGGTGACAGAAAATATAATCTAAGGGACGTGATTCGTGACAAGGTGTATCTGAAAGACAAAAAAAACACGTCAAGGATAGAAAAAATAATTACAAATACAAAACAGGTTGAGCAGAGTAAGTAAAGACAGTAGCAGAGTGAAGAAATGTGGTCAGTTTGTCCTCTAGCAGTCTAAGCCTATAGCAACATAACTAAGGGATAGCTCAGGAAACCCAAGCTGACCCTAACTATAGGATTTATCAAAAAGGAATGTCTTAAGCCCAGTCTTAAAACTGGACAATGTGTCAGCCTCACAGACAGAAACTGGAAGTTGGTTCCACAAGAGAGGAGCCTGATAACTGAAAGATCTTCCTCCCATTCTGGTTTTGGAAACTCTAGGAACCACAAGTAAACCTGCAGTCTGAGAGTGAAGTGCTCTATTAGGAAAATATGGAACAACAATATTTGTAATATAAGATGGAGCTAGATTGTTGAGAGCTTTTTAGGTTGGAAGTAATATTTTGAATTCAATTCTTGATTTATCAGGCTCCCCCCTTATAAATGGTAAATGGTCAATGGAATTAACTTATATAGCACATTTCTATCTTACTGAGACACTCAAAGCTCTTTACACAACAATCTGTGCCTCATTTACCCATTCATACAGCACTCTACTAGATCTATACAAAGATAATTGAACAAATCATTCTAAAGAGACTAATCAGAGCTTTATCACATTCATACACTGATGGGACACACATCGGAGGCAACAAGGGGTTCACTGTCTTGCTCAGGGACACTTCGGCATGTGACTGCTGGTGGATTCGAACCCCTAACTTTTGCAATAGAGGACGACTGCTCTAACCCTGGCTTTCTGCACTGTGTGATCTGTGCTGAGTCTGTGTGCATCACACTGTGTTGGTCATGTTGCGGTTGTTGTTATCCATTATTGTTTTTGTTGGTTTCTACTTTTTGGTGTCCTGTTATGTAATCTGTTGCTATGTGTTTGTTTCTGTTTGTCCCTGTACAGCACTTTGGTGTGCTTTGTCACTGTTTAAAGTGCTATATAAATAAATTGGTATGGTATGGTAACCACTCAGCCACAGCTGCCCACCCCACACCAATTTCCAGTTTCTGTCCGTGAGGCTGATGCATTGTCCAGTTTTAAGACTGGGCTCAAGACTTTCCTTTTTGATAAATCCTGTAATTAGGGTTGGCTTGTTATTCTGCCTTAAGCTTAGACTACTAGAGGACAAATTGACATAATTTCAATTGTTAATATTCAATAGTTTTCATTTGATATTATTTCTATCTAAACGTAATTCTTGAGCTGCCATTCTGTGTCTGTTCATCCTTCCTGTTCCTCTCAAACCCAGCTCGTCAAATCAGATGGCTGTTTGTCCTGAGTCTGGTTCTTCTAAAGGTTTCTTCCTCATGTGGAGTTTTTCCTTTCCACTGTCACCTTCATGCTTGCTCAAGATGAGAGTTCTGCGATGGAGTTATATTCAAAGCAGTTTGCTCCTCAGATAAATAGTGTTAACATTATTTTTATAGACAAATGTTTCTGTTCAGTGCCGAGTTGACTTCTGTTGTGACTTGGAGCTATATAAATAAACTGAACTGAACTGAATTGAAATTGCAGAACATAGTTAATCTGGTTATTAAACTTAAAATGAGAGTCTAAAACCATACCCAGATTTGTAGTGGACTGCTTAAGGTTTGGCTCAAGATAGCCAAAGTTTACAGGAACAGAGACTTCAGTAGAGCTAGGGCTAAACACAACAACTTAAATTTTCTGATAATTAAAACTTAAAAAAAAATTGAAGCTATCCATACCTTAATGTCATCAAGACATTATATCTGACAACTGTCAGCAAAACAATGAAAAGAATGACCATGTTTCCTCAGGATAGACTCCAAAGGGAGCAGATACATTGAAAACAGAAGGGGTCCAAGAATCGTGCCCTCCGGAACCCTGCAGGAAAGAGGTGCTGAAGCAGATAATATATTGCCACCCTTAACACAAAAGCTTCTGTCACTCAGATAAGAACAGAACCATTCTAACACTGCACCTATAATCTATAACCTGTAATTGTAGTTCAGTACTGTGGTGTTTTGACTCACTTAAATACACTGAAATATGACTGTTTGGTTTTCTGAACGTAAGGGGTATTTAAACACGTTTTTTGTTTGTTTGTTTGTTTTTCACGAGTTTGGGCCTCATACAACATAACACAACCTGCCTCAAAAATGATGAAAACAACCTCACTCCAATGTAAACTATAAAGTTTCTTATATTCTTTGTCATATATAGATGTAAACACAGGTCAGTGAATGCACGTATGGGAGGCACACAGACAGATGAGGGACATAAAGTATGTGCGAATCGTCTAAGGGGCATTTCTGTTCTCAATGAGAAGAAAATGGTGCCAGATCAGCAAATTAATTCAGAACAACTCACCCGTGATGATTCCTCAGATTGACAAGCAATAACATATCTATAAATATTATATATTTGTGGAACAATGACAGCTTTGGCTTGGACATCACCAATAGAATTGGATGGCAACGTTTTTTGGGATCACACCGACCAAAAACTGATCTGATATTTCTCAGTCATCCCTGAGCTGTGCCATGTGGCCTCATGTACGTTATGCCCACATAAATAACACATCCCCGCACCAAAGCTGAATTGCTTTGTTGATTCACATTAACTCCTTTCTTCCAGTCAACTATTTAAAGAATATACTTCTACGTTCTACCAAGCTCCTGCTTTCCTCTGTGTTTACAGTGATTGTGGTATTACTTACCAATTACAAGTATTAAATTTGTGTAGTTACAAATTCCTCAGCCTCAGAAGCACGCCGCCAGCAGATCAGCGTCCCCCATTCCATTTCATTCAACAATACACACTTACTTTTTGCACGTGTGGCAAACATGTTTTACACCCCACTAACTTATCTGAGTATCTCTGTCTCACATTCCATTAAATGTCTCATTTTGCTCCATGTAGACATCATTTTCCAATACGTAAAGGTGAGAATCTCACATGCAAAACATATTTGCATTTATTTTACATATTTAGATGGAGGCGTGTCTGGGGAGGTGTTTCATGTGCTCTCAGTTCCAGGTTCTTTCGATGTATGAAGGAAAGGTTAGCAGAAACATGCATACGCACGATTTGATAAAACTGAATATTTCTGTGTGCACGCACTTTTCTGATTTTGTCCCTACCCCAACGTCCAGTAGGATGACTGTGCACTCTTTGATACACAAGGACCCTGCTCTCTCAAGCTCGGTCAGAATGCAGCGAGCTCTAGAAGTTCAGCACTGAGCTGCCACCACTGGTATTCCATCTGCACTAGAATATTTCCATGAATTAATCACAGACATAATTGTTGCCAGTCATGCTTCAAGTTCTCAACAACTGCTCCACCTTGGATCCCAATATGCTGCCAGCACAGTGAAAACCACCACCGCCTCACTTTCAAAGTTTCGTGTGAGCGCAAATCACTGTGGACCTATCACGAATAATGAGGCACCCAACCTTAATGCATGCCTGAAGACCTCACTAAGACCTTGAAAAACCCATCCCCATTCAGTCTGATGCTTTATGTCATAGCAGGGTCAACAAGAATTAGGAAGGGGTTCTTATAGGAGCCATAAAAAGGTCAGGCTCTGGTGAAGCATCCAATATCAGCTGCACGTCTTTTTGGCGTGTAGCTTGAGCACAGGTCCATACTTGGTCCAACAAAACTTCTTCACATTCACTTTATAAGTGAGAGGAATTTTGAATAAGACCAGCAACCACATAGTTACCGGTCTGAGCACCACCCTCCTGCCCACTTCATCACCCGTGCTGGGATCTAAATGTGAGGCGCTCTGTCATTCTGTGGTTTCCTGCTGTTTCAGTGTAGAGCTCCCCACCCACCAAAATAATACTGCATCAGGGCTGTGGGGGCAAGCAGGCCTGATGATTATTTCCCCATAGCTGCAGTGAAATCTCTGCACCGCTGTTGAGGGTGTGTAACCACAAGATGATTGTTTTTTTTTTTCAAGTTTATGTAATTATTTATGTGACCAAAGTATGTAATAAAAGAATACAAAAGCCTGCTCAGAACTTGTTGACTGACGATGAACTGAAGAAATACAGAATGTAAAAAAACAAACTCATTGTCTTTTTTTTTTTTTCCTTTTAGATATTGATGAATGTGAAAACAGGACAACGTGCCCTTCTGGCATCTGCTACAACCAGGAAGGGAGTTACACCTGTGGCTCCTGTCCTGAGGGCTTTTTAGGACAAGGAGGCCAGTGTGTAGGTAAGTCCAACATGTGTGATCTGTCCATGTTTGGGACTTACTGCCATGCACATGGTCCTTTTGATTCAAAGCTCCAGTAATCTGTTGTGTCTCTAACTAGTCTAACTTTGGTTCATATCAAGGCTGTAAACAAATATTGTCAAATTTTATTCAAGGATTTTTACCGTCATTCAGATCATATGTACATGAGGTGGAACAAAACTATGTACACAGGGTCCCAGTTACATCCATCAAAAATACAAATTGTAAAGAAAAACAGTAGTAAGATCAAAGACATGAAGTATACTATATTCATTAAACCAATAATACACAAAACTAAGCACTAATAGTACAAAAACAATGTGCCAAAACAACAGCAGCGTGAACATGCACTGTTCTGATATTATATTATATGTTTTGCTCTGATGATTATATCTGAAGATATAAAGAAATGTGCAAACTCAGACTGTTGCAGAGTTTTTTAAACATAATTTCAGATTAATTTTGATTGAGACCTCCTCTAATGTATGAGATGTAACGCCTCCTTCTTTCAGTTTGGCTGTCTTTTTCCCTTTCCCACTTGACTTTCAAATCACTCCTCCTCCGGTAGCTTTGAAAACAATTCCTGCAATATTCATGCTCAATAATCCAGGTGAAAAATCCAACAAAGTCAGGTCATCTGAACAGTTTCTTTTTTTTTGTTGAAGTGTTTCCTCGGCCTGATGAAGTCCTTTGGATGAAGGACGAAACGTTTCAACAATAAAATAAACCGTCCAGAGGACCTGACTGAACTTTGTTGAATTCCTGCAGTAATACATCAAACCATGTGGCAATCATAGTTTAAATTGTTATGAACTTTAAGAATCAGTTTAAATTAAGATTACAACACCTATACTATTCAGCTGTCTGAACTTCACAAACATTTTGCAACATTTTTCTTAGTTTTTTAATCTTGGCACATCATATATTTTATGCATCAAAGCGTGGGCATTTTTGATTTCTTGCATCCAGAGTGCCTCTCACGGCTATAGGACTTAGTTTTTCAGATGGCACGCATCCAAACTCATTGTATCTGAGCTCAGAGCTGTCTCTTTAAATGAAGGGTCTTTTTCATTTGCCATGTCATCTACAGAAAACACTGTAGACACAAAAACTCAAGCGTCAAGTCACTTTGGTCACTTTCTGCTGAGATGTCAATTTCACTTTGATGGTTAATAATTTTCACACAGTGACTGTACTTTGACTTAATTTCTGCAGTCTTTCCGTCTTCCTTTCTCATAACAAGTGTTTTCATGGAGTGAGAGACACTGGGGTGTGGTTACCATGGTGACCCTAATGAGCAACTGATAGCAGCTTTAACATTTCTTTGGATCTCGGTTCTCTCCACAATTCTTTTACAGTTCATACATCAAAACAACGGTGTTTTATCAACTTGGTGCCTTTCAATATTTCTTCAGAAATGATCTATTTTATGTTGTTGTGTCTGGATTTTTTATTTTTTATTTTTTTAATCCTGTTCATTGTCATTTATTCATTTATACTGTATTTTATTGGCTTTTTAGCTAGATTGCAAAGCACTTTGGTCAACAAGTGTTGGTTTTTAATGTGCTATATAAATAAAACTGACATTGTCAAGGCGTAGGGGTATGAAAAGTCCAAGGCTCAGAGTAGGAATCAAATAGCTATGATTAAACTGAAACATCCATCCATCCATTATCTTTTACCCGCTTCTTCCATTTTTGGTCACTGGGGGTCGCCGGTGCCCATGTCCAGCAATCACTGTGCAGGGGCGGGAGACACCCAGGACAGGTCTCCAGTCCATCACAGGGACACATAGAGACAAACAAGACAAACAAACATTCACTCTCTCTCACACACCTAGGGACAATTTAGAGTTACCAATCAGCCTAACGTGCATGCTTTTGGTCTGTGGGAGGAAACTGGAGTACCTGGAGTAAACCCACGCATGCACGGAGAGAACATGCAAACTCCACCCAGAAAGGCCCCCAGACTAGGATTTGGACCAGGGACCTGCTCACTGAGAGGCAGCAGCTCTACAAGTTGCATCACCATGCTGCCCTAAACTGAAACATAATGTATTAAAATTAAAAAGCTGTCAGGGTAGCGAAAAACTATACAAACAAATAAGCATGCATCAGGATATTGTAGTGAACTAAGCCTCAGGTCAAAACCTGACCCTGAAGACCTTCATGGGACAGAAACTGTTATTTCATTGATTTGAATCCAGAAATACATATTAAGCTCATCCAGAGACTTTCTAATTTGAATCCTGAACTAATCAGTTGAAAGAACACTCTCTTTTTATATTATCATTACTATTTTACAATATCTTGATAATCAAAGTGTGTTTAGTTCAAATCATTTTTAAATGTTGAAATGAACCACTCATTTTAAATCAACTGTGAAACAGTATTAATGATTTTTTTTTAATCCTCATTCAAAGTAGAAGTCAAGTTAATGTCTGTTACCAAGTAATTATGCATTTTTTGATCTTCTGTCTGAAATGAGAAGTAGTGATGTCGGTCAAAAGTCAGAAAGAAGTTATTGGAACGAACTGTCATGTTTTTAAAACCTCTCAGACAGAAACAGAGAAGCTGGCACCTGTAGTCTGTCATTTCTCCAAAACATTTCTCTGTCTGTCCCTAAACATTTCTCTGTCTGTTCCTAAACATCTCACTGTTTTTCTGACTTGTAGTAACCCTCTTACGTCACTAAAACCACACCCCTGTTGGTTCTTTCAACCAATCAGGACTTCCCAAATGGGACCGGAAACAGAACTCTTTAAAATTCGACACTTCCTAGTTCCTGTAGTTCGGAGTTCTACACTTGAACCAAAGTTCTGGAGGGAACAGAAGTTCTACACGCGAACAGAAGTTCTGGGAACACAGGAGAACAGAAGTTCTGGGAGACATGAACCGAAGTTCCGAGAGAGAACAGAAGTTCTGAGTTCCTCTGAGTCTTCTCAGAGTCCCGTAAGTTCTTCTGGTACAGATGAAGTTCGGCTGGAGTTCCTGTAGGAGCCACAATGCCTCGCGGTGGCTCCACCCGGTGAAAGCCTTATAACCTCTGAGGAAGTTTGTTCTGTGGAACGAATTCTCACGACTTCTGCCGAGTCGCAGTCGCCCTGAGGAGACGCTGAAAGGTAGCGTACCAGGGACCTCTTACCGCAGCTGATTCATCCTCTGCCAAAGGTAGAGTCGTCATGAGCTTCACTACCAGTGTACCGTGGGCGAACTGCACTTGAAAGGAGCGTGTTGTTCTGGTTTACAGACATACGTCCTCATCCACATCTTTTCTCTCTATTTAAACTCCTTCATTCCCCCTCTTTAAAACTCTTCTATCTCGCCAGTAAAAGATAAGCTAAAAGTCTGCAGATATTAATTTAAGATATCTTCAGATATGTCTGTTGTAATAAGCTGCAAGTGAGAAATCATGGCCGTATGATTTCTCATTGTAAAGCTCATTAATTAAGCTGTGTTATTGCATTTAATCAGAATAATCAAGTGTACAATGTTTGATGTTAAATTTTGATTCTGTTAATAAATGACCACATTCATTTTGATGGGTCAAAGAAAATTAACGCCTCACGTCACTGATTAGACCATCTCCCACACAGTATCTCTGTCACATATCTGTCAAGTAGCTCGAAAAAGAGAGAACCCGTTATTAAATATTGATTGTAGTGAAGCTAACTGAAGCTAACCGACCCTATCTCACAACATTTCTGGTGGCCCGGTACAGGTCTCTAAAGAGCTTCTCGTGACCCGATATCCGCCTCACTACATTTCGTGGCCGTACGAATGTTTAAAGAGGTGTGAATTAAATGTGATGGAGTCTGTGTTATTGTACGCTGAATGTTGGCATGAAAAGTCCAAGTTTTGAGCTTGATACTGCATGATTCGGCTTGTGGTGTTCAGAGAAAATACAGTGATATGTTTTCAGCTGTGGGAAGGTGACTTGCCCTGTTTGAAACTGTTATCAGCTGTGTGGTTCTGGTTCGGTTCTAGATAACGGCTCGGACGAGTCGGTGTTGTAGGAAAAACACTGTTTTTAGAGCTGAAAGTAACGTCAATGTGTTCATTTTAAAGCTGAAATTTGTACATCTGTTGTGTAACTGAAGCTGGGTTTGTGGTAAAACGCTTTATTCTGTTTAAACTGTGGCAGAGAACGGGTTCTGTCTGACCCGGTTGTGCTGTCGGACTCAGTTCAGATTCGTTGAACGAGTCGTGTTTTGAATGGATAAAACGCTGTTTTGAAGCTGAGCGCTGTCTCAGGCCACTGGTGAAGTGCTTCGTTACATCTGTAGCAGTAAAAATTGTACATTTTGAAGGTTAATGGACAAAAGTTGATCAGACTTTTTCAGGCTAATGCTAACATGATAGCTAGAATCACGAAATGTGATTGGTCGAAAACCGCTGTTTGGGTCTCTCTGATTCGCTGAGAAATGGGTGACGTGTCTGCGTTCACTCCCTCTGATGTCAGATTGTAAAACCCACCCCGTTGCTCATTGGTTGATTCAATCACGTGATCCTGGAAATGAATCTCGGTTCGACCGAAGCCTCCTCTGTGTTTAAAGTCGCTAAATGGAGCTGCCTCTTCTCCCAAAAAACTCTTGTGTTCATGCAGATAGACGTGCTTGTTAAAGCGACGCCACATTTAAGCTTTAAATCCGTTCAGAAAACGCTGATTTGACCATGTTCGGCCGATGCTAATTCTAGCTAAAGGCTAACAACCGGATGTCAACAGAACAGAACGGTTCACAGGAAGTTGTCATAGACTCCTGCTGGTATAAATAAGCTTACACCGCCACCTGCTGTTGAAAGAGGAGTATAACAGTTTTCTTTAAAGGGAGACTGATAATTCCTCTCATTTTTTTTCTTTTCTTTTTGTTAATTCAGCCTGGTTTATGAGTGACTGTTTTAAATAGCGAATTCTGGTAAATAAAACTGCTTAAAAAGCGTTTAAAACCTAAAGTTGCCGTGAGACTTTTAGAAAATTGCAGGTTTGTTTAATTTTTAGTGCTTTAGAGTAAATGAACACTGAAAAAGGCCTGGTTCTTGTATCTGTTAGATTTAAGCTCATTAAGTAACACTGCCAGAAAGAGGCATTTACTTAAAATATTCATGCATTGGGGTAAAACCTACGAATAGGTGCCCATTCATTTGAAGTAGTGGCTTACACAGTACTGTTGAGTGAACCCAGAGCTAAAATAGTGTGTGAGACTCACATGGCACTTGAATACAAATATTTACCTGTTAAAATATCTGAAGTTGGCAACTGTTTAACCAGATAAGTGCTGAACAGTGAATAACCATGGCAGGTATGACAGAAAAGAATATTGACCCTTGTGAGATGAAGGACTGGTTAGAGGGAGCGTTGACGCTGCTCACAGAATCCTTACATCCATATGGTGAACAGGTGGACAGCATGAACTCAAAAGAGTTATTGGACGAGCTGAAGGAGGTTGCAGAGAGTGTGACCTCTACAGACAGAACAGAGTCAAGCTATGACCAGCTGGCTAAATTGGCGCTCTTATTGAAAGCAACATTCTATGCTGTGATAAACAAGGCTGACGACCGTGCGAATGAGTTACAACGTGACAGAGAGCTCTCACAAGACACGTCACTGATTAGACCATCTCCCACACAGTATCTCTGTCACATATCTGTCAAGTAGCTCGAAAAAGAGAGAACCCGTTATTAAATATTGATTGTAGTGAAGCTTACTGAAGCTAACCGACCCTATCTCACAACAATATATACAAACAAATGACAAAGAAAGAACAAGGAGCAAAACCAGAACAAACAGTACGATGGAACAATAATAACAGGTGAACCAGTGTACAGGGAGGAGTGATTAATGAATGAGTAAAATGACATGAACAACCACGAGCTTCAGGCTCTGCCAGTGGAGCCCCATGAACCATTCAGAGGTTGTTTCCTCCTTTCTCTTCTTAGGATTACAAGTCAAAGCACACAATGAAACAAATGAAAGTATTCAGAACAACCTAATGTATAATTCATTAGTGTTACAGCTGAAACATTAATAAAAATACTCAGTCATAGTTTTTCCACGGCCCCATATTATTCCTCCTTGGATTAAAGTAGTATGCGATCTTCAGCACTGGTGTCTCTGCTGACACCCTGACTGATGAAGTATACAGTTTTTTGTTTCCTGGAGCTTTCTACCATTTTGAGAATAGATTACATCCTGTCCTCTCAATTCCCAATGTCTAGCCACTAACACACACATATAAATCACACTAGGAAGCATATGTAGACAAAAATAATCCAGCCATTGAGCAGTAAAACAACAAACCATTTTAAACCACTCACAGTGTGGAGCTATTTTTTCTCCAGAAGCCCTGAAACTTCAAGCCCAAACCAAAGATGTGCTCATCTCTTATTTCAGTAGCCTGCTGCTCCTGCATCCTACTTATGTGGCATGGGGTTACCTACAATGTTTTGGCTGCTTACACACCAAATAAGAGCAGCCAAACCACAGTGGGGTGGCATAAATGATGGTGGTGCAAGAGGAAATATTAAAGCAGAGCAACAGGATCTTTTTTAGAAGTCAATAATCCATGGAACAGATGTTTGCACTGCCCAGCCAGAGTCGGGGAGGTATCATGTCTGTAGTCTGTGTGTTAAACCTGTCCTTACATTAACCATGAGACAAAACCAATGTGACTGTATGAAACAGCCTTTTTCTAAAATGTGAAATATTTATTATTTGTTAGAGCACAGCTTTGTGTCTGGTATTACGAAGTAAAATGGTGATGGACACGTTGGCTGATGAGGTCAGGCAGGAATCATCATGCACTATGATTTTTGCAGACATGGTCTGTAGTGTGAGCGAGGAGCAGGTGAAAGAGAGTCTGAAGAGGTAGTATGCACCAAAAAAAGAGGAATAAAAAGCAGCAGTAGCAAGACAGAAAGCAAGAGCTGGTGCACGAGAGAGAGAGTGCAGGAAAGATGGATTGAATAGAGACGAGTGACGGGGTTGATATGTGACAACAGAGCAGCGGAGTGAAAGAGAAGGTTTACAAAAATAGTAATGAGACTTGCTATGATGTAGAGGTGGTGGTGCAAGCAAAAAGACAAGAGGCACAGCTGGAGGTGGCAGAGTTAAAGATATTAAGATGTTGGGGGAAGTGTCCAAAATGAACAGGGTTAGAAATGGGTGCATCAGAAGGACAGCTCAGGCTGAGCAGTTTGAAGACAAATTTATGGCTGAGATGGTTTGGACATGTGCAGAGGAGGGATAGTGAATATTTTAGCCAAGGGTGTTGAAGACTACTAGAGGACAAACTGACTTCATTTCCTTAAATGAATTGTTAAAATTTAAGTTTTCATTTGGTACTATTTCTATCTTTACATGTGATTCTTGACCTGCCATTGTGTATCTGTTCCTCTCAAACCCAGCCGGTCGAAGCAGATGGACGCTTGTCCTGAGTCTGGTTCTGCTAAAGGTTTCTTCCTCATGAGGGAGTTTTTCCTTTCCACTGTCGCCTTCATGCTTGCTCAAGATGAGAGTTCTGTAATGGAGTTAAATTCAAAGCAGTCTGCTCCTCAGATAAATAATGTTAGATTATTATATTTTTTATACAGTATATTTCCTGTTTGATAGCATTTTGCAATAGCATTTTGACTAATCTACCCTAAATCCAAGACTTTCTCACATCTGAGGAAAAATCACTACCACTCTGTTTTTCACAATGTGCAAGTTTACTGTAATGACTAATGTTTAATCACTATATGTCTCTATTTTTCTTATTTTTTTTGCTATGGACTCTAATATGAAGTTGTCCAACCGAGATGCACTTTGTCTTCTGTTTGCCCTTGTTGTTTACCACTCAAACATTTAATTAGATTATCTCTCAGGGATGGGAACCACTCAGATTCTGTTCCTTCACTCGGTGAGAAAACACCACAGTCAGTCACTCGTGATTAGTTTGTTTATTACTGTTTACAACTTGTCTTTACAAATGTTCTTTTAAACATTTACTCAATAAGGAAATTTTCTGAGCTCGGCGTCCTGTTTATGTAATAGCTAACAGAATAAATGTTAGACAAGTTCATTGATTAAACTTTTATTGATGCGATAGTTCTCTCATCATCTGTTCCCTCCAGATGTAGACGAGTGCCAGGACGAGCGAGTCTGTGTCAGAGGTCACTGCCAAAATGCCCAGGGCTCGTTCTTCTGCCAGTGTGGACCCGGTTTCAGAGTGTCACCAACTGGAGACCAGTGTGATGGTATGGTTTCTGTGTCTCCCAGTTCTTTCTTTGTACACCAAGAGTGTTGTTTTAATCAAGTACACACTATGACAACCTTTAAAGCCATTGTTCAACAGAAGGATCAAGGACCATGCTGCTTTAACCGGACAAACCCCGTGGGGTTTCCATGAAGTCTCTGAAATAATAACATGCCTGAATGAATCTGAGTCTTTCTCAGAAATCACAAACTCTGTTTCAATAATCTTGGTATCAAAATAAAGCTAACATTTGTGAGATTTTATCAGAATTATTAGCATCACAGCAGCTTCTATTGTTTAACAGAAAATGAAGATGGAACAGAAAAAACGGAGGATTTTTGCCCCCGCCTGAAGCTTTTCTGCATTATAGAGAATATAACTCCTTTGATGTGGACTAAAAACTCTAGGAAACCATGACTCCCCATGTGGACATTACCTGTGCATATATTCATGCTGCTGAAGTAAACTAAAGTTACAGAGGTTTGAGCTCCCACAGACTTTATAAATTAGCTCAAACACTTCCTTTGCTGTGTAAAACTTTTGTTTTTATGCTATTTATTCTGACAAAATCACCAAACTTCTTGCTAATAGTTATTATGAGTCCAGAGGCTTGTGTATGCACTAATACTATAAGCCTCTTGTGTAACAACCAGCGTTACACGGTACTGTAACCCAGGTTTGGACTGGCCTATTTGCACAAATGACCCCACCCTCAAATCCTTAGATACAATAGAATCAAACTAACATAAACACATTCATGTTACTCCCACCAACCATGTGTTCACAACAAAAATATAAATCTATCAAAATATGTTGAAACTGACAGTTTTGGGGATGAGGTGCATGGTCACCTCACAACAAGCAACTCTCTGGTTCTGTGTTAGTCTTTGTGACATTTATCACGTGAGTTTTTCTCACTTAAACTGACTTCTAGTAGTATTTTATTACTTTTTTTGTAAAAGTATGTTTTTATATTTTGCTTGTTGGTTCCCAAAAATATCATCCAGCCTTGTTCACAAGTCAAAACCTGGTGTGTCAGTAAATGATCATGCGTCACATTTTCAGTCAAATATACTCATCAATAAAAGAAGAACTGCTTCACTGAAGACCAAAGATGTTTTATTGTTTATTGTAAGTGAATACATGAGGAGTAAGCCGCAGATTACTTTTCTCCCCTTGTTGTGTTCCTGCCCCTCATAATGGCAGCATTTGCTGTAGCTGTTAAACAAAAACCATAACTCGTGTTTTATGACTCCGTGGCCTTGCTGATGAAACATATGTAAGTTAAATAAAGCAGACCTGGTTTCTGTCAGACATGAATCTCTGCTTGTGGATCCTCAGAGCTGCAGTTAGTTAACCTGACCTAGTGGTTCAGTGCCGGTACCACATGGTGTGAATCAGAATCAGAAAACCTTATTTATCCCAGGGTGGGATTGATGCATGATGATCCATGCAAAGGTATAAAAATGGAAACATACAAAGACTATGAAAGTATATATACACTTGAATCAAAATAAAAGAATAAAATAGAATACAAACATTAAAAAATAATAATAATTTACAATATACTATACAGTAGTCCCTGGATTATCGTGGGGGTTATGTCCCACACACCACCGCGATAGGTGAAAAACCGTGAAGTAGGACCATTATATTTATTTTAGTATTTACAGTATATATATTTTAAGGCTTTATAAACTCTTCCCACACTCTTGCAATGTTCTTAACAATGTTCTAAACTCTTAAACCTACATCATTTTAACAACATACATATTTGTACAGTACAGTACTGCAAAAAATTGTACTCACCAGCTCTGCATACCAGCAGCTCGGTTCTGGTCAGGCTTGGTTCTGGTTCTGCAGACCTATCCTGCAGTGATGAAGCCCACCGCACCATCCAGGTTGATGTGACGTGGATAATTGAGCTTCAGGATTATTTGTGACCTTCCTACCAGTCCTGTGATCTTAATAGATCGATTGTTACGTCTGGCTTTGCGTTGCTAAACATTCCCTCCATTTTGGCAGAAAGCAGCAGCAGAAAGCACTGTTGGTTTCTGGGTAGTTTAGTCCTTTTGACTGACGTTACAGTATAGGCTTATTGAAGGAAAACTACAAAATGTCGGCGCCTGCCGGAAGTTTTTTTTCCCTGTTAACTTTTTATCCCGTACCATCCCAATCACATGAGTAATAATAAAGTTGACAATCGTTGAAAAAACGCGAAAGAGCAAGTCCGTGAAAGTCAAACCACGAAGTAGCGAGGGACTACTGTATGTGTGTTTTATACATTCAAGCCTTCAATTCCTTATCATCACACTGGTTTCAATGTAGCATGTGTTCCTGTGTTGATCTTCCAGATGTGGATGAGTGTGAAGAAGAAGACAGACCATGCGGGGCTGTGGGTGACTGTGTCAACAATGTGGGCTCCTACATGTGTACCTGCCCTGATGGCTACCGGCAAATCAATGGAACCAGCTGCACGGGTAGGTCTACAGGAAATAAATATTCTAGACACCCACATCTGATCTAAATTTAAATGTTTTATACACAAATGTATATCTCCTTATGTACTTGTTATTATCAGCAGAAGCTGAAAAGTGAAATTGGTGATTTTGTAAAGGTATTATAAAGGTGATATTGTTTTAGCCTGTGTGTATTTGTGTGCATGTGTATTCTTTGTTTGTCTGTCTGTTAGCAAAATATCTCATGAAACAATGAATAGAATTTAATGGAACACAAATCCAAATCAAGATGGGTGTCAGCCACAAAAAGCAACTTTAAAAAACAAAAATGGCAAAGATTCAGTCAGTTTTACAGATACTGAGCTAAAATTTCATATGGTAGTAGATGAGACTCATATTCACATTCTCATATTCATATCCAGGACATCCTTGTAGAAGAGATTAATAATCTCAGTGGATTTCTTCTTGGTAAAATAAAGGTTTAAAAATAATATTTGCAACACGTTAGAGTTGCATTTGGACCCAAAAGATCTGAGCCAACCCAGCCCCAGCCTGTAGCCATCATCATCATTTTTGAACCTGACTCGACGAATTAGCAGTAATTACAGGTCCAAACCTGAAAAAAAACAAAAACATTTTTAATTAGGCTTTGGGGCAGCACGGTGGCGCAACTGGTAGAGCTGCTGCCTCTCAGCGAGCAGGTCCTTGGTTCAAACCCCGGTCCAGGGGCCTTTCTGGGTGGAGTTTGCATGTTCTCTCTGTGCATGCGTGGGTTTTCTCTGGGTACTCCAGTTTCCTCCCACAGACCAAAAACATGCATGTTAGGCTGATTGGTAACTCTAAATTGTCCCTAGGTGTGAGTGAGAGAGTGAATGGTTGTTTGTCTCGTTTGTCTCTATGTGGTCCTGTGATGGACTTGCGACCCGTCCAGGGTGTACCCCGCCCCTCGCACAGTGATTGCTGGATATGGGCACCAGCGACCCCCGTGACCCAAAATGGAATAAACGGGTAAAGATAATGGATGGATGAATTAGGCTTTGACTGCTTATATAATTATTAACGGTCATTGGACGTGTGCAGCTGAGTAAAAGGAGGCAGAAGATCAGAGCTGAGGGGGCGTTTGTCCTTTCATGACCGTCAAAGCGCATTAAATCCCTGCTTCTGCCTGCATTCTGCATTATTCAGACACGGACACTGCTCTGACATGTCTGCTTTAGGATCTCACTTGTTTGGGTCGTCAGCCGCGAACGTCCTCTGAGTGCAGCTGCTGAACGTCCATTTGGGTGATGGATTGCGGCCTTGTAGTACAGTCCCATCTGAAGCTTAACTGAACTTTTACCTCTTTCAAGGCCGGTCAGCTCGTGGTGAAATGACTGCGTGCGGCTGGTGAATGTATGGCAATCCATGTTGGCATATAATTGGAATGTATGGCAAACCATGTTGCCATATAATTGGATCGTCAACCGCACGTGTCCGCTGATGCAATCAAAAGCCCGATACTGACCCGGCCCACCCATCCAGCTCATTATTATGGCCCGGGTTAAAAATGACAGCTCTACAACACGTACTGGTACTCTGAGCATGAAATCTCACATTGAAGTAAATTTAAGTTTAACCAAAACCCTATAACTTCATTATTTTTTTACATAAAATAATTGTGTTTAAAACTGGAATGAAAGCGGCAGGTGATATGCATTCCTTAAAGGATTGCTAATCTTCATTTGTGATAGCGTCTGACCCTGAAAGAGAAATTTAGCAGTTTTAGTTCACAAAAAGCTGTTGAATCCCAGAAGCCTAGCTGACTCGAGTACTTGGACTCTACAAACACAGAGAAAGAAGTCCAAACACACGTCTCTGTTGTTTGTCTCTGTATTGTCTCAGATGTCGATGAGTGTGTGGAGGAAGCCGAGCTCTGCCACCCTCATGGTAGATGTCTGAACACAGAGGGATTCTACCAGTGTGTGTGTGACGGTGGGTTCACTGCCGGCCTCGACATGCCCTCTTGTGATGGTAAGATGCAACTGATGCACACACAGCTGTTGTAACATTCAGTAGCTGTGTGAAAAGAATCATTTCATGCATTCTAAAAATGTTAAATCTGGTCCTCTGGACATAAAAAAAACAGATTTAACTTTTTAATTTTTTTTCGACCTGGATTACTGAGCATGCATCAGGACATTTGATGCATTCATTTCACCCTCCTTAATTCAACATTCACACCAATGTTTCTCTGTTATTTTCTTTAATTGTTGTGCTATTTTAGCCAAATGTATATCAGAACATTCAGGAAGTGGGGCCTATAACTTTTGATTTTTTTTTACTTTTATACTTTGCTAAAGGTAATTTACAGATATTTTCCCAATCGACCAACATGGAGATCTCTTCAGTTCCTTCAAAAACATTTTTCTTTTCAAAATCTGCTTCTGCAAGCTTGCTGTAATTTTGTGTTGATAAGCAACTTTTAATATTTAACTTTTTGCTACTTTTTGCTAGGCCTTTGCTACATTTAGCTACAATTGGGCTATTTTTAGCTTTTAGTTAGCATATTGCAACTTTTAGCTTTTAAATAGCTTTATGACATTTAGCCAGCTTTTGCTTTTAGTTTTTAGATACTTTTTACTTTTAACTAGCCTCTTGTTACTTTAAGCTTTTTGCTAATCTTTTGCTATTTTTAGCTTTTAGCTAGCTACTAAACTAACTACTAACTAATTATCTACTATGAATTTACCTCTCTTTCTGCTACTTTTACTTAGTGTTTTGAAACTTTTAACTTTTAATAATAATAACAATAAATACATAAAGTGCTATGTGTTGTCATCATTGTATGTTCTCATACAAAGTCGAAATTAGTTCTCTGCATTTAACCCATCACACCTGGAATACACCCAAGTGGAGCAGGGGGCAGCTATGTAAGCGCCCAGGGAGCAATTTGGGATTTGGTGTCCTGCTCAGAGACACTATGACATGTGCAATGACCGGGAATTGAACCCAGGACCTTCGATTCCCGAGTTGGCTGCCCTGCCTTTATACCATCTCAGCCCCTTCAGCTAGCATTTTACTACTATTAGATTTTTGCTACTTCAAAATTTAGCAAAACTTTTAATAGCCAGATTACATTTTAACCATCTCTTGCTACATTTAGCTTGTAATTAGCCTTTTAATATTTTTAGTTAAACTCTTTTTAGTTTGAGTTTTAGGTAGCTTTTTGCATCTTTCAGCTTTTTTCTACCGTATTTCTTATTTAGTTTTTAGCTAATATTTTGTTATTATAGCTGTAAGCTAACCCTTTGCTGTTTTTAGCTAGGGTGTCTGTTTTTAGCTAGACTTTTGTTATTTCTACTTATTAGGTCAAATTTAGCTACTTTTAGGTTTTAGTTTGCTTTTGTTACATTTGGCTTTTAGCTAGGGTTTTGATGTATCAGTCAAGTTTCAGCATCTTCAGTAAATTTCAGGGAGTCCATCCCCCATCAGCATTCGCACTGCTTTTTCGTAGAAAAAAATCATTTCTCTATTAGGGCGGCTGTGGCTGAATGGTTAGAGCAATAGTCCTCCAATGCAAGAGTTGGGGGTTCGATTCCACCAGCAGTCACATGCTGAAGTGTCCCTGGGCAAGGCACTGAACCCCTCATAGCCTCTGATGTGTGTCCCATTGATTTAAGAATGTGATAAAGCTCTGATTAGTCTCTGAACAGATCTAGTAGAGTGCTGTATGAATGGGTAAATGAGGCACAGATTGTAGTGTAAAGAGATTTGAGTGTCTTGATCAGATAGAAGAGCACAGTATAAGTTCAGTCCATTTATTTACAAAATAAATGAATTTGACAAACATTTGACCAGACTAACCCATTGACCCATACGAGCCAAATGACAACCTCACAAAGCTGGCTAAGATACTGTCAACAATGTCTGAAGCTGTCAACAAGCCAAACAGTGGCTACATGTCTCCATGTCTGCCCTCTTTTCATCTCCATCTTTTTGTCTCCATCACCCTAATGTCACTGAGGGAAAAGAAAGATGATGAGGAGAAAGTTTACAATTACTTTTACATATGGCGCTCTACCGTTCCCCATTTTGGCAGGAGTTTCAGCCTTTGTGCCAAAGCTGTTTTTAATGCCCTCTCCTTCCTCGGTAAAATCAGAAAGAAAATAAAAAATATAGGAAAAGAAACAGACAGAAGCCTTTAAGCTGGCTGTCTAGACTAGGAGGGATATTTGTTGCCCTCTGTCTCGTGATTTATTCAAACTCTGACCCAAGTGGAAACGTATGTGTGTGTTTGTCTGTGTGTGTGTTCGTGTGTGTGTGTGTGTGTGTGTGTGTGTGTGTGTGTGTGTGTGTGTG